CGCCCACATGTTGCGCGGACTGTTAGAGACTTCTGTTCAGCACAACGCATGCAACTTCTTCCTTGGCCTGCTTATTCGCCGGATATGTCGCCTATTGAGCACGTGTGGGATATGGTTGGTCGGCGTCTCACTCGTGATCCGCGTCCTGCAGTTTCCAAAGACGAACTTTGGTTGCGCATACAAGCGATATGGAATTCTCTTCCTCAAGCAGATATTCAACATCTGTTTGACTCCATGCCACGTCGTATAGCAGCACTTATTGCAGCGCGTGGTGGCTGCACCAAATACTGATTTCGGACGCTTAATTTGTTTCTTTTGTTTTGAAAATTTCATCATTTATTTGTATCAGTACAAGTCGTTTCTGCATTAAATTTCATTTGATTCTGATGATTCTTTCATGGTGTTGCATTTTCTACAAACAGCAGTTTATATGAGTACCAATGGATAAATAAATAAATTCTTGAACTAGTTTATTACGATTATTATTATTTACAGCAGTCTTGTTTTTTCACCAAACGCGATTTAAAATTGAGATAGCGGGCTCAACGAATCGTCACCATGGTGTGTAACAGTAAATAAATAAATTTGGTTTAGATACATATACAGGCTCATGTGCTTAATACAAAAAGCGGATTATCTCTAGTAAGAAAAAAAAACAAATGGCACAAAAGTTAGAAAAACAACACAAGGATATTGATACCCCTATTTCTGCTTCATAGCATATAAATAACCTGATGTCATTAAATTTATCAAAATTCAAAGGATTAAATGGGCAGGCCACATTATAAGAATGGAGGATGGCAGGATAACCAAAAACGTTTTCAGTGCCAGGCCAACAGGTACAAGAAAAGGAGGACGACCAAACCTAAGATTTTTAGACTGCCTTGAAAAGGACCTGCAAGTTTTAAAGATAATAAACTGGAGAACCTTGGCTAAGGGAAGAATGTCTTAGCATAGGCTTGTTGAGAAGGCTAAGGCTCATCCCAGGCTGACGTGCCAATGAGAAGAAGAGAATTTCTGCTTCATAGAGTTTGGCAGAACGACAACAACCCGCGGCAATTCAGGCCTCAATAGTATATGAAGGTTGCAGTATTTCTGCTGCAGTATTTCTGCTATCTCGCCTTGCAGTATTTCTGCTCCACTAACCACTCTGAAACTTAAATGTAATGAGTTAGAATCAAGCTATAACACTAGATGTATATTGTTGCTGTCTTTTAAAAAATTGCGCTATCTGTTTTACAAACTGAAAAGAGTTTTTAAGTCTCTCTTTGTATTTACAAAAAAACCAGATATTTAAATATATAAATCCCACCAGTCCCTTGAAAGATGGATAAAGCAATCACCATAGTTTGATATGTCTAAATTTAGTATCTTTACAACACTTTAATTAAACATTTGCAGCCATCATTCATGTTCCTTTATCTTTTGTTGCAATTGATAAATTATATTAAAATAACAAATAAGAAACAGTCATCTAACTCCTATAAGCCATTTAAATAAACCGCCTTTTTAAATAAGTAATAAAAATGTGAACAGATTATTATCAATCTATTTGGTAAGAGTACAGATCAAAAAGTTAAAATTACCAAATAAACGATAAAATTTGGGACAGCTCTGTCATGATTCTTTAAAACATGTCATAACAACCATTTATTAGATTAAATTTATTTCTCATTTTTGTATTTGTTACTAAATGTATGTTTATGAAAACTATAATTTTGAAAATTAGAGTTTCCGATAAACCGTTCAATATGGGCGAGGGGTACTTTTTATGGGTGTGGGGTGCATTCTAGTACGAGTGCAGATTTCCTCTTTTTTCAGGAATTAGAAGAAATTGAAACATGTTTTGAAATGCTCTCTCTCAGTTTTTGGAAAAAAATAAATATTAAAAGAGTTAAATATCTTAAACATGCCATTTTAGTATGATATAATAGGCACAACTTCAATTTTCAGTCTTAAGCCTGGAAAAAGTAAACAGAGAAATTACTTAATCATATATCATTAATCATTACTAAGAGCTCATAGCCGTTTTTAAAAAAAGCTGTCCATTCTTAAAAAAGCTTTATTTTTCATTTGCCGGATTGGCACTGGTCCTGATTATTCCGGATAACCGATTGTCTACTGCATCGGTTTTTTGGGCTGTGGAACATAAAATAGTCTACCTTCTTTTGACGGGATCCCAAGACTTAAGGAATAAATTTCCTTAGCTATTGTGAACATATTAATTAACGAAAGATTATTAGTTATTTTTAAAATATATAATGATCTAAATTTTATTAATTAATTTGAAAATATTTAAGAGAATGTATTTTTTTTATCATATCGTTTTATGAATTTTAGTTTATGA